TGCACAAAAAAAGGTCAGGGGGCTTGTGAGATGACTAATATGGTTGGAATGAAGAATATGGAAATACAGGTAACATTGCATTGTATTTTATAAGCTTACCATATGTTGTTTTATGGAAAATCTTAAGATGAAATGTAAATGCAGAGTAAAAAGAACAATGTTTCTCTGAAATTTAGTGGAATGGAAGAATAAAGATGCATTAAATTAATATACTCAAGTAAAGTACAAGTACCTCAAAACTGTACTTCAGTACAGAAGTTGAGTAAATGTACTTGGTTATTTTTCACCACTGAAGGCGATGTGTTACTCTGAACATACCATGACTGTGCTGTGCCAAGTTGTACTGTTGCATCCTGTAGGCAGTAAACTCATAGGAGGATACAGCAGGCAAAGCAGAGCCATGCAGAGACTGTGCACAGAGCAGCAGCATGGCAGCAGCTACACTCAGCTCTTTCAGCAACATGGTGTCACGTTCTGCTATGGTCTGAGTCTATGAAGGAAGGTTAGCGTTAGGCTTTATGTCAGGCCAGGACTACAAACACTGACATGTACATGCCAAATGACCTTAACGTACATACTGTGGGTAGGTGATATGTTTACCCAGATCAGTGTGCTATATGGTAATTACACTAAGACCTCTCATTTTGCAGACCCCTTTATAGATATCATTGAAAATTTCATTAAGAATTGGTAGTTGAAGATGGGGCAAGCTATCATATCTTGTATTTGATACTATCATAGTCTAGGCCAACATGAACCTTAATGAGTCAACTCCGACAGTTGATATTTTCTACCTATACCCCTGTTTAACTAGCAGCATTTTTGTATTGAATTGTTCCTCACCTGTTACATGAGCCTCCCTACTCCGTCTTCCTCAGCTTCAGAGCTACTCCTTGCAGTGTGGACACAAACTGCTGTAGAGATTCAAGGCATCTAGGTAAGCCACCGTTCACCATCTGCTCCCAAGGGATCAGCTCAAGGTTAATTACAAATGCCCAGTCCCCCCCTCCTTTACACTCACTACTCCTTCTCTATCTCTGTATCCATCCTCTCTTTCCTGGCTGCAATGTTACACTCACTCACTTTAGTTGGTAATAGCAAATTACCAGCAGATACTGGTAACAGTCTGTGTAGGTGGCAGGTAACATACAGCAGCTTTTTGTTTCCTTTAATGTGAGGATGATAGTTTGAAGCAGTCTAAGAAAGTGTTAGATTGCAGCACTTTAATCTGAGTGAGGCTGCATGGAGGCTTCAGCTCCAAATATTCTGTATATTGGTGGAACATGTAGAATGCTGTCCAAAATAGAAATGACTGTTCTATCAGATCAAGCAAAAAAGAAAAAAAGGGTACAATGGCACAGGGCAATATGAAACTTCTGATATCTATTATTTATTTGTCATATTTTGCACTATACACAGAACTAACACTGTTAAAATCTAAATGGAACCAGTTCACATTCATCATTATAAGCATCTGACAAATAAAAAGCATCTGTTTTTATATGAATTATTTTCCATACATGAAAAATAAATTAAAACGTACACACAGCTGCAAATAAATAGCTTCTGTTCCAATGCATTACTTTAGACTTCAAACTCAAGAATTTAGTGAAGCTAATCCTTAATTTATACAACATTGGCCAGAAGTAGTGCACTCAGCAGGATGGCAGTGATAACCTATGTGTGAGTCTGTTGGTATGATGTTAATGATGGAAAAAACTGAAACACCATAGTCAATCACACAGTCAGTCTCTCATTGTTAACGTTAACAGACCCAGAACTACTGGTCTAACCTTCACCTCAGCTAGTAGCTTTTTGTGACATATGCTTTATCTACACATACAGCACTTTATTTGGGAATAATTAGTTCTTATATGCTTGCATACTATTTTAAATCAAATATGGCATCACTGAAGTTGTATCAGGGATATCTAAGGATAAGGATAATCACCTTTATTTGGCCAAGTATGTTACACACAAGGAATTTGTTTCACTCTAACCAGTAGGACTCATCCACTGTTTGAAATGTACAAAAACAAAATTTAAAATTCTCTTCCAAAGTATGCTTTAGTTAGTCTACATACAAGATCATTCATTCATATGACCACACATACTGTACAGTATGCCTGTAGATCTGGCACCTCTCCAACAAAGGAAAAAAGCATGGGAAGGAGTCATTTTGGTGTCATACATTATAAGCTGTATCCCCACTTAGTGAATGGATGGAAAGACTTGGACAAAATTAGCAAAATATCAGTTAGGAAAGATAAATGCAAGGTTCCTCAAAAACACTGTAATGAATCTACAAAGATGCTCAAAGTGAGATTGTTCATCGTAGACGCACATGGTATCTCAACCCCCGTCTACGAGTCAACAGAATAGCATGAGAAAATTACTTACACTATAGTGTTAAGTCCACATCTACTTACAAATATAGCTACAGTCATAAAAAAGTAATGCCGCTGTTAGCAATTTCCTGGTTTTCCACCATCGCTCTGTGTGTTTAATGAGTGTGTTCAATAAAGAAAGGAAAGAGCGTGGCTACTTGTGTTTTATCAGCTCAGAAATATTGTGTTTGTTGCTATTTGGTGAAGATCACATCACATTTCATGACCATTTTATGCAAAAAGCCAGGAAATTGCAAACAGCACCATTGCTATTCTTATGACTGTATATTAAGTGCTACCTTTGTCATAAGCTCAATGAGAGCTTATCAGAGCTGAACTTATTCGAAAGAGAATAATGATAATGTTTTTCTGGTGTTGTACTAATTAAACATTTCATGATCAGGAAGTGGAATACTTTTACAGCTCTCACTGTTGCAGTGTTTCTGGGAAACCCAGCTTGATCTTCCAGTAGTTTCACATGTGAGTGACTGTTACCACCTACAAGAAAATTGCTGATAACTGTAGAGGACTAGCAATATCTTTAGAGTAATGTAAACATGAAAAAGAACCACTACACATTCAGTATTTCTATACAGTAAGGATTACTTCATTTTCAACACCATGGAGCAACATCCATTGGCATAAAGCACTGACAATACACAGCTGTATCAGGTGCTACATGTACAGCTCTTGTCCCCTGGCCAAGCTGAAAAATGTTATATTGTAACTCAAGGGGGGTGGGGTGTGCGCAAAATACACAACCACACAAAACAAATACCCAAACTTAACAGCACTCAGAGAGCACAAATCAAGGCAGCTCAGTTTCCCCATAATGCCACTATACCTAAAAGCAATATTCTCATGATAGTTTGATCCTAATAATATGACTCCTTGACCATAAAAACCTACCCCTAGCATCTGGAATCACAATGATATAATTATTAGTTTGAAAGTAATTCAAGAAAAACTATTTTTCAGTAACAGCAGTTTTCTTCAGGATCTAGCTCAGTAGTTTTTGAAGATTCTGTACGTACATTAAATCTGTTGACACCCTACTGAGTCAGCAGTGTTTCAATTAGAATTTGACCTTAGCTGCAAATCTGTAGCTTTATTTGTTGTTGCACAGTAGCAAGGTTTTTGTGAGGCCTATAACTGTGAACATTCTGAACCAGGACATCTTGAATATGACTTGGATCCAGATTGGATTTGGTGTGGGGTGGCTCATATGTGGATGTTATCATGCATTTTTTTGTCCAAACATTGTAGGCACTGTGTTTGGAGTTAGATGCAGAAATATTGAAATTGGCCCTATCTCACAATGGTGAACAATCCTTTTTGTAAAGAAAAATCCTGGATCCGGACAATGATCCAGCTCACCACGAAAATCTAATGGATTGTTTCATGGGCCAAAAAAAATGTCCATTCATTACTTTTTGAGTTATGCTGTGAACAAACCAACAAAAACAAAACCTCCTTGGTGGAGGTAAAAATAAATAAACAAATAACTTAAAAGAAAAGAAAGTATTTTATACTTCCCTTAATATGCAAAACAAAACAAACAAACAAAAAAACATCCTTATCCAGACAATATGGAATCACTTTGGGGACATTCTCAGGTATGAACAAATGCATGGCCAAAACTGCACACCTTTCTATGTACCTACACATACGGTATTCTATTTATCCTTTCACTGATTCCCTCAAGTATACGAATTATTTCATAATCACATTCACTAGTGGTGACTGCTTCAGTGATCATCTCAAGCATTCGGTCATGTCTGGGCTAGCATGAACTAACAAAGAAGCACACATGAACTTTCTGCAATGTTTCTAAATCTCTAGATCTGCTGCTGTTACAGTAGGTAAACCTAAATATTACTATCTTTGCGTTTTTAAAAGTGCACCTCAATTAATAGGGAGGTGTTCCGGGCATGTCCCACCGGGAGGAGGCCCCGGGGAAGACCCAGGACACGCTGGAGGGACTATGTCTCTCGGCTGGCCTGGGAAGCATTCCCCCGGACGAGCTGGAGGAAGTGTCTGGAGAGAGGGAAGTCTGGGCATCTTTGCTTAAACTGCTGCCCCCGCGACCCGGTCCCGGATAAGCGGAGGAAAATGGATGGATGGATGGACCTCAATTAATGTCTCATCTGCACAAGGATATGTTTGAGGGCCAACAAAAACTGACGCATCATCTGCACAGGCTGGTCTAGTGACACAGTGTTAACAGGTTACATGTAAATCTGCATTTTTAGCTTCTCTTAACAGAAAAAGAAACAGTAAAGCAGTACAACCTCGGTGTAACACACAGTTAAAAAAAATCTGGACGTACCATCTTCGAGTCATGCTTGTAAGCATTAGTGTTTTATCAGCAGCTTGATGGCTTAGCACTACTTCCTGGACACAATCAGACAGGCATATATCATTTTCATGTTTGATATATACTGTACTCAGCAAAACAAACCAGACTGGCTAAACAAAAATGACAAAGAAAAAATGGCCACTACAAAACTTCTTGTCCATTGAATCTGACCATCAATGACACACGAGCAGAAAAAGTACTTTCCATGCATGGAGTGCTGCCACAGTAATGACACCTTGTCACCATTACAGGTATTTGGTTGAGCTCCTGTCATTCCATTTATTTTGTTGTTTCTCTTCTTCCACACTGAACAATCCTTCGTAGTCCTTGCAAACCAAAATATCCACAAGCATGAAACTGAAGTCAAATGATGGAGAGGCAAAAATATCATGGTTTCCTTAGAGGTAAAGTTTCTGCCATCAGTCAAGTCCACACAGAACAGACAATGGAGAAATAAGTTGCACAGATCCTACCATAGGAGGAACATGCACATATGCTGTAGATATTGACTCTTTTCTCAAGACTTGACCTATTTTTCCTTTTCTTATTTAGCATTTAAAAACCCTTATTTTCCCTTTGTGCCATTGCCAGTTGACAGTTATGCCTACTCGCTGCCATTCTGCTCGGTACTTGGCCTCAGTGCAGGTGGCAGGCTGGGGGACTTTTTGGGGGGAGCGATGGTGCTACTGGATTTGACAGGCTGTGGAGGGAGCAGCCTGGCAGCACATGCAGGTGGGGTTTACTGCTTTAGGCGGGATCAGATCCAGGTCCTCATCATCTGGAATCTCATCGAGCCGGTACCCATCCTTTAGCAGCTGGATGTTCAGGTCTTGGTTGATCTGCTGTAGAAGCCAAAGAAACAAGATATCAACAGAACTTCAGGACATTTTGTTCAAATTTTGAAGCTAGGATTATGAACTAAACTAGTCAGTTAAATAAGATAAATAAATTGCTATGCTGATTCTACAAATAAACTGAAAACTAAGTGACCCAAATTTTTATTTAACCAATATTTTACCAGGGGAAATTCCATTGAGGTTAATTTCTTTTACAAGGGTGCCATGAATTAATTAAGAGTTTCACAGAAACAGAAAGGAGCAACATAGAAAACAACTGGTTTTTAGATGGTAATGGGACAAAACAAGAGTGAAAACAAAACAAAAGATACTCAAAGAGGACAAAACAATTAGGAAGCTGTCTGTTCGAGAGATGACTGAGAGAATCCTTATATATTTTTTCAATGAGTGCATATATACCTGGTGTGAGCATGGGACTGGGTGATTGGGTGGTGACAATGGTGGGATGACACTGTTGAAACTACAAAATAATGTGCGTATAGATACCTGGTCCCTCAGACATCTCACCTCGGCTGAGGAGTATCCTGATGAGGAGTATCTGGACATGTCGAAGTCATCATCACTGGTAACAAGATTTAGTATTAACAGTCAGACACAAAAGATTACGATGCAAATAATAGTAACACATTGTATAATGATATCTACTGTAGATCAATTCAATACTGAACTTGCATAATGTTGGGAGACTCATATTAAACAATAAATGATAATTTAGAAGCAGCTGAGGTTGAGATATCCTGATTTTTAGATTTTTAGTATGGGTCAAGCCCAAGAAGCAAAAATGTCAAGCCAAAGAAAATGCTAGATTTAAAACTTTCCATCATTTGATACAGTCTGTCATTTGACACTTCCTGCCTGTTAAATACCCAGAAACCATCAGCTTGTAATAAAGACTTTCAGATTTAAGTGTGTGGCCTCTGTGTGAGTTGAGTCTGGTCTCTAAATAATCCTGGTGACATCATCAAGGTTTTTTTCTTAGACTTGAAATATCTTCCCCACGGGTACAGAACACACTATACAACACAGTTTTGCTGAGCACGGCTCCTTATGGCATGTAAATGAATCGTGCCAAATCGGTGAAGTGCAACTTTAAAAGCTGCTAATATCAGCCAACGGTCATACTGTATCTTCATACCTGAACTGGCAGATAGGGTGATTAGAAAACACAGTGTTGACATTTTCCAGGCACTGATTTCACATTTAAACCCACAGAGACAATCTTCTGCATTCTTTTGATTCCTATGGAAATGACTGGCTCTAATGAGGCTGAGCAAAAGACACGCTAACTCTGTAAACAAACAGAACAAAGGCACATTGTGCAAAGGGTGTGCACATGAATCTAAAACGTGAACAATAAACAAACGGGTGTCCTGTGTCACTGTGAGTCAGAAACCTTATCAGAGAGTGTGGCTATGATGCAATTCATGGCGTAAGCTTGGTTAACATTCAGTGCTCAGAGTGCTCTTTTCACATTAGAGTTTCCCTCATGTAGCAGCATATGGAGGCCACAAAGGGTGGGACTCATCTGTGTCAAATACAGACCTGCTGGGACAGGCTGGAAGCAAGTGCTCCCTCTGAGCTGCTTTTCCCTGTCTAAATCCTCACCCCACTGTCCACAAATCCCGAACCCTGGGAGATGCTCTGCCCCCTTTAAAGGTTCCCTTCTGCTAAAACCTCTCTCAAGATGCTCTACAGATTAATTTACCATCATAACAAGGTGAGAGCTACAAAATCACAAGTTAGCCAGTTCTCATTTTCTCTCCTTTTTAGGTCAGCCTGCAAAGTCTGCTCTTCTAACTGAGTAATACTGTATTTTAGTCTTATTCAAGTCTGTGAGTAGAAACTAAATCACATACATACCTGTCAGTGTCCAGTGCTACCAGGGGCTTCTCATCAGGGCTCTGGTCTAAAGAGGAGTAGCCTTTGTTTGGCACAACCAACCTGTAGCAGAGCACAGAGGAAAGCACACCTTTGTATTATACTGGAAGTACAAGACAAAAGGAAAAAAAAAAAAAAAAAAGGCAACAAATGTCTCACACATTTGTCACAAAGTAGCACAGTGTAGTATTACTGATATACCAACCAAAAATACTTGCAAATGTTTAAAATTATGGAATCACACAAAATATGATTATTGCCCTGCGTATGGTGCCGTCCTTTCAGGCGATAGACACAAAAATCGAGGCTAATTTGTAGCTCTCAGACTCCAGGCAGCCCCACATTATCTTTCTGCCTCAGAGACTCCAGGTTCAGACCAGTCCATAGGCTTTCTTATATTTCCACTAATCCACCAGGGAGTGGGATTAGACAAATGAGCCAGTTGTCAGTGATGTGGGTTGCACTGGGTTTATGCTCAGTGCTTTGACTCTTTTATCATCATTTGGTCACAAGAACATCACATTCCCCTTCTCTAAAAAGCCTTCTTGTTTGTACTGTTTGTGTTTGGTTGTAACATTAGAAAGTCCAATGGCGTTCGTAGAAGGCTGACAGCAGATAAAGCCTTCAGCAGACGTGCTCTCCTTATGATTTGCATTTCAGTAGTTTGCGGTATTTTGTGTTGAATGGTGAACAGAAGATGCAGTCTGCTTAAGATGCTAATGAACTCATTTATGGCTGAGGTGGCCCACATAACAGAGAAACAAACAGGCAGTGGAAGCTGTTACCTTGTCCTGGCATTCTTCTTGGGCTGTTGATTGACAGGACTTCCCACTGTGCCATTCTTCACTGATCCCTTCCTGGCAAGGTCCCTCTGTTTCTCTGGGCAACCACAGGATTTGGGATCATCAATAAGTACAAAAAAAAACTTAGGCCATAAATTATTTATTTATATGATTCTGTTTCTTGAAAAAGTAACCAAATGTGTTCCAAACCAAAACTGGCTTTTAGTTAACTTATTATAAAAGTGCTTTACTGCTGCTATACAATATACTGCCTGTATAGTCAGCACAGGCAACTAACAGGTGTAAAAGTGATTGTGTTAAATATAGTTGGTAATGTCTGTGCTCATGCAGCATTTCAAATAAGTATTGACTGACACACGTGTGTGACATAGTGCATGGTGTATCAATGTCAGGAAAATATGTGGTTTTCTTACAGTTGGATTAGAAAAAAAAATCCAGTTTTACTCCAAAAAGCAATAATCACAGTTTGGCAGAATTTTTTGCAGATGTTCATGACATGAAAGTTAAAAACTGTGAAATCACTAGAATATGAGTTCATCTTGAGACATTTAAGTTTCAAAATAAATGTTCTGCAGGCTGGAATAGCTTCTGTGATATTGACTAGTGAGTTTGAGGAAGTGATATTTTTCAGCAAGCTTTTTGGAACAAGGCCCTTAGGACTCAATAAAAGTGAGGAATCCTGAGTGCTACACAAGGTTTTACAGTGCTGTGATGGTAAAATAAGAGATACAGCTCAGATGCTGTATGTTCTGATTCCTGTAAGAGTAGAGATTTATTGTTATTGAATATCATATGCTACTGGATATGACCTGAAAAGAATGTTTGTGCTTATTTTGACTGTGCTGTAAAACACTTCTGCAATAACTCGTGCACAGATTTCACTAGTATGCTACATGGTTTCCATTCTATGAAGGAGTTTTCCATTCTTTGTTACTATTTATTGTTAAACCTTAATTACACAGAGTTTGAAGAATGCCAAGTATTGATTGCAGTGTGTTGGTTGGGATACCTATTTGGACTTGCAGTGGCGAGGGCTTGTAGTTTATGGCCACAGTCTCTCCCTTAGTGTCAGGGTCTGCATCTGAAGTGGAGGATGCTGCTGGGTCCTAGAAAGAAAAATACACCAGGCAGAGAGTTCTGACTTTGATACAGCTAACATGACATCTTACTTAAATTGCATCCTGCTATATCTCAGACTAAGTCCTGTCTCTTCATACACCTGCATAATCTTTGTTATATCACTGCTGCAGTTTGCTAACAGTTGACAGGCATTAAACCTGGAGCCAAGCCACTTTCTAATATAATTCCAATCACCCTGTGCTATGCTATATTTTCACATACCTTTGGGCATGTGAAAAATAAATACACAGCACAATCAACTCAGTACCTCTGATTTACTACATCACCAGGTTCACACAGGCCAACACAACTTAGAAAATTCTGCTCCTTTCAGGACCTTTTTGTGTCCAATACACAGGCAAGATTTCCCACGCCTATGGGCTACTATAGCTGCCTGGTTTTCAGCATGAGTAGGGTTGAGTGGTTTGCCCATGTTGTTGGCTCTGTCTCTTTTATGTGTGAGCAGTAATGACATGGGGAGGAGGCCGTGGAAGGACAGAGGGGGTTGCTGTTGGAGTGACAGTTTCCCCTGATTGAGAAAGGGGAGTTGGGCTGCACTTGGCCTCCTCCACTGACACAGCTCCACATTATGTTGATACTACAAGCCTCCCCTTGTTGCTCTCTGAGGGACTCTACAGGCCACATGGACAAAGGCTACAAGACATTTGGCTTTCGATAACTCGGAGTTCTCCCCAGAGTAATAGCTGCTACTGTATATTTCTAGGATCCTCCGAGCAATTAAATGGCTGGAGCTGAAACTTAGACTCTTACAGTTAAAGCTAAAAACTCATATAGGCTCAGTCCACTGCTTTATACAGAATGCTACTTGTAATATTTTTAATAATGTACAATATAATATAGTGCTGGCTGTCTAAAATACAAATAAGCATAGGTGTGCTTGTACTTTATAAAAACATTTGAATCAATAAAAACTGAAGTGTCTATGAAGATTGTGTAAAGAGGTTATAAAATAAAAAGGTCTAGACACAAATATGCCTGAATCTATTTCATCAAATCCTTTTTATGTTATTATTGTGAATATATAGGCCAGTTACATGAAACCAGTAGAGTTTATCCAATCTCACAGGGCCTGATGAAAAATTCATGAGCATTTAGCAGGGACAGCGTATTTTGCATTTTGATTTCATTCATTCATTCATTTTCTACCGCTTAGTCCCTGAACGGGGTCACGGAGGGGCTGGAGCCAATCCCAGCTGGCAATCGGGCGAAGGCGGGGTACACCCTGGACAGGTCGCCAATCCATTGCAGGGCTAACATACAGACGAACAACCACACACACACACACTCCTATGGGCAATTTAGAGACACCAATCAACCTAAGCTGCATGTCTTTGGACTGTTGGAGGAAGCCAGAGTACCCGGAGAGAACCCACGCAAGCACGGGGAGAACATGCAAACTCCACACAGAAAGGTCCCGGGTGGGGCCCGAACCCAGAACCTTCTCACTGTGAGGCAACGGTGCTAACCACTGCGCCACCGTGCTGCCCTCGCATTTTGATTTAACACACTCTAAAACATGCTGCCAACAACACAATATGGTAAATGCATGTTTAGGTATATATAATGTCTAATTCATTCATATGCAAAAATTGTTGTCATCAGAGTAAAAGGCAGATATATTTGAAATATTTCTCAGTAGTCATCTACTGCAATCCATCTCTTCTCATCAATGGCCAGCTATAGGCTTTTTATGCAGTCCAATAAGGCCAAAAACACCATCAATACATACAGTGGCCTCATCCTCTGGTGATTAAGCACCGTTCATTTAGCTGAAACTGTGAACAGAGTACACACACTACTAGGAACTCTGAAAGCACAGCACACATGAGCTCTTTTTGTTCTATGACAGGTCCATCTTTTAGATCATTAGGCTTTCCCACAGGATATATATATTTTTTACTGGTGTTTTTCACACTACCCTTCCACCATATCAAGACACCATGATGAGGAAGGGTCATATCATCTGTCAAATAAATCACTTTGACATTTTA